ATTCTGATCTCCAGTTTGTCTCCTGCTTCTAACTCCCCAGTATCCTGACCTAGCCAACTCAATTCCGATCTTGTGACTGCAGACTCTGGCTCCAACTATGAGGTCTGGCCACCCATGACCTGGATGTGACATAAATTGGGGACTTTCTTCAAACAGGCAACAGAGGCCTCCTGATCTCCAAAGGAATGTGCTCTAATGTGGTTAGGTGGATCTAACCTGGCAAACACCTATCAAGGCCTTATACACATGGGGACATACTTAATCTCTGAGGGTATGTCTTTATTGGGGTCTGGAGCCAGGAAGACCTTCTCGTTGCCACCAACGTCGCTACAATATGCAGCAAGGTGTCAGATGCACCCAGGGAATCCTATAGGGAAGTGTGGGCTATGAACTGCTCAGTCATGATGACTTTCAATTCCACTCCATGTTCCTGTGGTAGTTTGTTCACAAACTGAGATACCTTAGCCCAAGTAATCATACTAAGAGAGGAAGGATTGATAACTAGCTACGTGCATCTGGAATCTGGCTGAGTAAAGTCTGCACACAGAAAGGTCAAGTTTCTTCAGATCCCTGGGTGGGGCTTTGGGAAGTCCTTGTTGTTTTGACATTTCCTGGATAGCAGCCACTACAAGTAAACCCAGTACTGGTTGGGAATAACAGTGTTCAAATCTCTTGAAAGGGACCTGCTATCTTCTGTCCACTTGCTTGAATCTGGCCAGTGTTGACATTGGTGTATGCCATAGATCCTTTAGAAGCGCCAATAGTCATTTATTTATTGGCATGGAAAACCTACCCGGCAAGGAAGAATGCAAGATCTTCAGGAGGTTGTGGGGCTTCTCCTGCACCACTTCTAGTGGTATATCCAGTATATTTGCCATGTGTTTGAAGAGGTCCTGGAATGTCTTAAAATCATTCACTGAGGCAGGCCAAGAGAGGGTTTACTGTCTTACCAGGGGAGGATGAGATCACAGTGGGTACCGGTTGTTCTTCACCTTGTAGTTGTTGTTCCTCAGTATTTACTTTTCTCCTGACTTTCCAGGATCTAAAGCTTCACTAGTTGACCTCATTGGGATGCTCTCTGGGGCATGTGTGAAGATCACTGCATACCTCATGGTATCCAATAGGGTCAATGGGGGTATGGGTACTGAGAAGAGGGACATATAGGGGGGACAACAGGAGAGATGCTACCTATGAGTTGTAGGTCTTTTCCATAGAACCTTCCCTAAAGCCCCTTCCTGACTTCTATAGTGCTACCCAAGGATGAGAAAGATAGATGTCTTCCTGCTGTGTCTAGATGGGGATGAGGAGGAGTACACTTCCTTGAAGGGAGGGGTCATTCTGTCAGGAGTGCCTTGTCTCTAAAGCGCTGAAGTCAGTGCCAGAAATAACCTCCTTGACTTGCCATACCACCAGTTCAGTATTTGGTGGCTTAGCCATCATCACCTTCAGTTTCTCTAGCAGAGGTAACTCCAGTACTGGATCCACAGTTAAATCACTTGGTACCATGTACACTCTGAGTATCAAGACAGCAGGTATCCAAGCGCTAAGTACTGAGGAACACTGTTATGAGATAATTGGCACAGAAGTTGTGGATAGTAAGGCTTTGGATAATGAGAGATCCCGTACTGAGGTCAATGATGAAAGTTTGGTACTGTGAGAAACATCTTCTGCAGATTTAATTGATACTGATTATGTTCTCTTAGCAGTCAGTACCAGGACATCCAAGAAGGCCTGTTCAGGTTTTTGACTCTTAGGAGGATAAGCCTGAGATGCATCAGAAGTCTTGTCTCGACTTCCCAGGCACCAGAGAAGTTTACATGAGCTATGGCTCATCCCTGAAGCAGTGCTGAATTCTAGAACTGTCAGAAGACATTGAAGCCAGATTGGAGGCAAACGATTGTGTGCCTCTTAATATGTGTGGTCTGGGACCTCAAGGTGAAATATCAGCTCACCAGGGCACTAATGCAGAAGGACTTGACTGGAGGATGTGGTCTAACTGTTCTTTCTTGTGGTGTCCAAGGAGGCTTGCATTGAGCTCCTGCAGAGAAACAACTTCAGGTGGACTTTCCCTAGTTCTCTAAATTTGCTTAGAAAAGGAGCAACATATGGCAACTTGGATCCCCTCAAAGGCAAAAAAGACACACAATGCTTGTTGTTAAACTGCATTGAAGCTTAATGTGAGGTGAAGGTTTTGAACCCTGGGGATTTAGTTTCTGCCATGTTGCTAGTGCCCCTTTACTGAGGGGTGTGTTCAAGTGACTAGCTTAAAACTGAAACGTAACAAGAAAATTTTCTACATTTTTAGCTAATGTGCAATAACTATCTACCTAATTATATGAACTAACTCACTAACAACTAAGGCTATGTCTACACTGCGCAGGTTCCAGTGGCACAGCTGTGCCACTAGAGCCTTGCCACTGTAAGGCACTCAGTCAGAGCAGCTTTGTCAGCAGGAGAAAGCTCTCCTGCCAATAAAATTAAACCATCCCAATGAGGGGCAGTAGCTTTGTCAGTGGAGAGCATCTCCCGCCGACAACAAACTGTCCACTCCAGCGGTTTTTGTTGTTAAAACTTTTGTCAGTCAGGGGGTGTTTTTTTCACAGCCCTGACCAACAAAAGTTTTAATGACAAAAGTGCAGTGTAGACATAGCCTAAGTAGTAAGATTACACAGTAGCACAGTATTCAAAGAAGGCAATAAACACTGCAGGTCAGTAAGAAGGAACTGCGGGCTGGTTGGGACCACTCAGATACTTATGCCCTCATGGAGTGGGGGGTGAATGAGGATTCAGGTTGACTGAAACATTTCATGTATTCATGTCAAATTGTTTCAAGTTTAAAAAACCTTACAAAAAATCTAAACAGTTTGTTTCGACATTTTCAAAATGAAATGTCTTGATTTTTACTCCAATTTTATTTTTAAACAGGTATAAAACTTGAAAATGATACATTTTGTGTTAAACTGTTCCCAAGTGAATTACTGCAAAGGTATCTGCCCATTCTTATAGTTGATCACAAAAATCTAGTCATACCAAAAGGAACACTGACTCCCCAATATCTTCTATCACCCTGGCAGAGATGTGGCTTTCACTAGCAAGTCTTCTAGTTTTGAAGGATATAGTGGTTCTTTTAACAAAGAGTAATGCATACTACTACTATGGTCTTTGTGAAGCCCTCAGTGCAAATGCAAAGCCAAAATGAACCACAACAAACTGAAAATAGTCTGGACCAAGAGTGAACCACAAAAACCTCTAATGTTGCTGTATGAGGGGGGACACCAATATATGTTTTTAAGTCTATGGAAGCAAAGTCTCCCAGCTTCATTGTGAAAATGACAAACCAACTGTCTCCATCTGAGTAACCTGCATATATTTCCACTCATGGAAAATTAAATAAAGTGTACTAAGAGACCAAGGTGTCTACGCTATATAAATATGTATAATAATTAATTCTGAAGCAAAGGGAAATTAAAACCTTTATTCTGGCACCAGCTTTTGAAAAGATTTCCTTGCTAAAGAATAGACTGAACTTCAAGTTGTTGAATTACATATATCCTGAGTAAGACTCTCTCTGACAGGCATGCTAAATTGCCAAGATTAACAGAACATATACTTCTGCAGAGAGTAACTTACTATTTAAGTATGAACATGCTATTCACTCCACACAAAATACATTGAAGATCTACCTTTCCCACACAAATAAAAATGTAATTAGCAAAAAATAAGTATAAATATACTCTACAATAAAAAGTAGAAGCTCTTCTTAGATACAGGTTCATCTATACTTATAAGAATGCCTCTCCCTTTAACATGCTGTTTAATGATAGCAAAAATAAGATTAAGAGATGATTTGATAAAAGTTTATAAGTACCTACACAGAACAAATTTTTGATAATGGCTCTTCAATCTACCTGACAAAGATATAACAAGAGCGAATGGCTGGAAGTTGTAGTTGGACAAATTCATGCTAGAATTAATGTAAATTTTTTTACCAGGGAGAGTAATTAGCCATTGGAACAATTTATCAAGGATTGTTGTGGATTCTCCATCACTGACAATTCCTGTTCAAACAGGAAGTAATTCAGGGAAATTCTACGGCCTATCTTATACAGGAGATCCATCTAAATGATCATAGTGGTCATCTAGCTTTATAATCTATCAATTCAAGTGCAAATGAAAAAAGCACTCTTGGCCAATGCGGTTACCTCAGCACCTAGAAGCACCAGGAGACCCAAGAGGGTCCCAAAGTTGAGTAACAAAAGGTGGGCAAATTACCTTAACTGAGGGAGTCAATTTCTGCCACTATCTCCCGATAATTTTCCCGAAACCTAAAAGCAACACCGTCCTATTTGGATTGATGCTAAACCACTTTGTTCTTATCTAAACTCCATTTTAGGTTGAACGATAGGAAGGTCAATCAAACTGAAATCTCTTCCCAATACAACTAATCCTTCAAGCTACTGAGCATGTTCTAATAGTTATTGAATATCCACCACTCCATTTGACTTTGGCACATCATAAGATTGGGCCCTTTATTAGTGTCTTCCCATTCAGCTGATGATACTTTGTACAGAAAACTAAAAAAGAACAGACAATTTCTTGGTACTCACAGGAAAATGATTCTTTAAATATATATATATATATATATATATATATATATATATATATATATATATATATATATATATATAT